TTCCACTATACAAAACCTGTTTGGCGCTGAAGTAGCAATTATCTGCTCTTACGCAGCCACCCTATTTTACACATGCTCTCTTTTGAAATGGTGGCTGAGCCGAAGGTTGTCGGTCCTCGTAGTATAGTGTGCAGTTCCGCAGTCTGATCATCAGCTGGCGAGACCCGGTTCATTCCCGGCCGGCGGAGAAACTTTGCCCTTTGGCGAGGCAGTCTTCTCTCTAAACATCACGACATCACTTTTCACGCCGTATTAGTGCAAAAGTGTCCGACTGCCACCATTCTATCGCTTTTCTTACTCATTTTACATGACCGCTGCGCCCACCCCCCCAAAATGACAGGAACACACCCCCAAAACATTGTCCGCTCCGCTTCGCCGACTCCACAATTAACCCCCCCCCCGCAGTACACCAGCGTCCTGTTGGAAGGGTACACATTTCAGTTCCTCCGTCCAGGTCAGGTCACCCAGAGCTGTTTGCTTATGGTTCAATGTCTATAGGTTTTATCTTATTGGGCTTTTTGCAGTCTACTTTATTGACTGTATGCTGCTTCTTTATCCTATTGCTCTAAGTTTTTTTCTTACCCTAAGGCTCAGTAATCAGCTTATTGTGTGAGCCAAAATCGAAGGTATCTTTTCCTGAGCGCTTGACCTGAACCTCAAGAAGAGAATGCCACGCACAGGTACGATATCAATGGTTCGACGGAGCTCTCTTAGGGAGAAGAATGTAGGGATTTTTATGCTTCTATTCATACTGTTGTACACTGTACTTGCTCCTCCTCCCCGTCGAGGATTTTTGGAAAAAAGGAAGGGAATGAGATAATTGGTGAATTTCGAGGACATGGGGTAAAGGAGTGGAATGGACTGATATAGACCCCACTGACGGAGGGACCGGGGCGAAAAGGTTAAATTGCAGCCTCAGTTTTCTCCGGTCGGCATTCTGGCCCAAAGTCGCATGAAAATCACGCTAAACATCGTCAGGTCAACTAGGCGGTCTTTCTCTGGTCTACCATGTCATTTTTATCGATAGAGTAAAATATCTATAGATATTTCAATTCGTAGGAAAATCTCGTAGCCGCAAGGTTCCAGTTTGTTGATCCACTGACAAGAGTATCCGTTTAGTTCAGCAGGGATTAGCCGCCTCACCATGAGTGAGCGTTGCTTTCGTTATAAAATGAGCTGAGAAATCTTGGCCCGACCCTTGAACACTAACGGCAAAAATGACCGTAAAAAGCATTCATGCTCAGTGCCCCTTCATATTCAATATTTCAGTATTCATTGCCCGTGCATCTAGAGATGCCTTCTGTGGCTAATCCTAAGAAGGTATAGGGGCAAGATTTACTGTAGAATACCTAGCGCACTTTACGCGCGTAAGTCGTACACGTGCCGTGCGCAGCACGATCACATTCCGTAAAGTTGCGTCAACTCTGCTGTTCTGTGGACGAACCACTTATCCTACGCCAATTCACATTAAGTTTATGACAGTCTCAGCATTTCTGTCAACCGTGTGGCTCAGCAATTTAGCGGTTCCTAGTGCTGAGTGGGATCTCTCACTCATGCACATTATTACAGCATCCGTTTTGAAGACCTTGTCTCAGTAATATGCAACCTAAGTCCTGAAGCTTTTCCATCTACCATCTTGACCCTTTGTTTACATAAGCCTCGTAGGGCCGGACGCCTAGTCGTCGTACGAGAGACAACGATCGCAAGTGTCGCACAGCATTGGGTGCGTGTCGATCTGCGACACATGCGACACTTACGACCGCTGCTGTCGGACGACAGCAACGATCGTAAGTGTCGCAGATCAATACGCAGCTACTATTCCACACTACAGTGGGACTTTCGAAATACGATCACGCGCAGTCACGTGTTGTCTGGGTTTAGCATTGGGTGACCGCGTCGCCTTCCATTTGCGACCGCGGTTTATGCGACACTTGCGGTCGTTGCTGTCGTCCGACCGACTATGCGTCCGGCCTAACCGTTTATGACGTTGTGTCACATTTGCCTTATTTCAGTGCTGTATTTCTTCTCTCTTATAACTGTGATCGATACATCAAATATTGTTCCCACAATTTTCCGCTTCAATGGTGGCAAAAGGAACCTCGGATCGTTTTAAAGATCAGGAGGGAGAGCGTACCTTCTCTTCCAAGGTTTCTTCAGATGGACAGAAGATCGGGCGGCCTTCATGTCTTTGGGAGGGGGATGGTCCTACAAGTAAGTAGTCCACTTACAGTACCTGGGACTAAGCCTCAGGGAAGGGGAGAGATACTGGTGTAGGATGTGAGCAATTTATGTTCTTCCTCCCTCTCTCCTGGGCTCAGCCCAGTGTCACCTACTACCGACATGTTTTGAACGTCTCTCCACCCCCTCTCAAAGCCATGGCCGATCAGGCTAGAACGTCGAGGAAGCTGGGTATATGAACAACTTGAGGTTGTGATTCCTATGATCTCATGTACCCAGTTTCTTTCCCACAAGACTAGAAGACAGGACTAAGTTTGCCTACTTATCTCGGGGTCCCTTCCCTCACACAATGTGGCTTAGGCCCTCATCTTTCTAGAACCGTCGTCCTCATTCATAACTCGCGTGGGAAATTTGGCACTTCTTTAAAAGGAATAGGTACGTAACGGTCAAAAGAATTGCCGAATTGTGAATTGGCAAACCTGCCAAAACGTAAATCGTGGCGGTCTCTAGACACATGGAAATGTGCCAAGTTCTGGGGCACACAGTGAACCTTCAATAGGGACTGCAATACTGAAGCCTTCTGAGCGAGGTTCACGCCCCGTTTTATTTCATTCATCCCCGAGTCTTTCGATCAGAGTGTGGCATGCTCGAATTTATGCAGTCTAATATCGAAGTAATCTCACCTGCAAGTGATGATAGCCTGGTCACATGCAAGATCGAAACTGCTAGAGATTAAGGTTGATCAAACACGGGAACACTGTTTTCTTGTCCGTGGTGTGCTTCATTAGTTGGCTCAATCTTCTTCAAAGTGCGAGTCTGAACGCCGCAAGCGTTAAACCGGCCGTAAAATTACGGTGTCCCCGACAGTTTGCACTTTCCCACTGCAGCCGACCTTCTCGATTTTAAAATGTGACGATAGAAAGAGCGGCAGTGATGTGGCTGATGAATCAGCGTAATATCGATAGCATCCATCGGGATTCTACATCATCGTCATTGTTCTCGCTCTTTTGTGCAACGGTAGTGTTTTGATTTTTGTTAGGCATTGTTCACAGTTCGCGACTCGAGACGAAAGGGTGAATAGACGACTGAGCTCTAGGACCCTTCCATAGCTCGCGACTTGTGCGCGGAATCATTGTCACTGGAAGAGGTTCTGATCCTCCATGCCTTTAAATCATTTGCGAACCCTACCAACGAAAGTACCCAACTTGTTTCCTTCTCGCAGCCAGCGCGACGGCTGCCTTCAGGTGTCGAACCATATTTTGCACTTTGGCTTGCAGTTTGAGTGTGGAACAGATACGTATTGATCGTGCGATCGCAAACTCCTTACGATTGTACGCATGTTTTGTTTGTTGCAAGGGCAATGGTGCAATACAAGTGGGATGATCACGCCGTTTTTCTTGATATGGTAGGCGCGAAATGTATTTACTAAGTGGGGACCGTGCCTGCTACTACGGTGACGCGAGAATTGAGAGAATTAGTGAGCCAGGGGGAGTATAGCAGGTCTGGAGGAGTGGGGCTGAGGACAGTCACTTAACATGCGTGAAAAGCAGGAATGTGTGAGTTCCATTGTAGTGTCTTGTCAAGTCCTTTGTGGACCCCACTTACCTCTGGGGGTTGACGGAATATATTGGTTCGTCTGAGTTAAGAGGCGAAACGAACCGCAATTTTCTGTTATAATAAATTCCTCCCAATAAGATCTTTTCTTTTGCAGCGAAGGCAATGCCTCCCCCCTCATTAAAGCACCCCTTAGCCCATTTACGTTGAACATCATGAGGCGTACCGTGACGGCTGTAATGACGCCAAAAAAGTTGTTATCATTAAACGCGAACTTAGCAGATGCATGATGCCATGTACTTCATCCTTGCTCGATCTTTGATGCTCCGTTTTATTTTTCTTGCACTGTAACGCGCTAGCAAAAGCCACACTTCACAAGCCTGTTACCTTGGTGCGGTCTTTGAAAAACTGATTATATAACGGTTATATACAAGTATTCCAAGCCTGGCGAGCTGAAGCACTGAAATGTTTTAGGAAGTTCAAAAATTCCAAGAGATCTGTTCAGGACTTTTCATTTTGCAATTTCAAATATTTGCAGTCTCATTGCTTTCTGCAACAAATGTAGGTCATGTAGGAATAGACGGGACGATATATTTATTTCTATCTTTTACTCTGGGGTGTGGAGAATCACAAATAACAATGAACTTGCATGAACTGACTGTTGGAAGTTTTCATATCCCATGGAAATTTGAGCGGAGGCCTGCGAAAATCAGTAGAGTCGAAAATGCTGATTACGAATTTGGAGACTAAAACAGGCTAATCAAGCTCATGGGAAAAGCCAATCTATCCGCGCGAGGGTTTTTAATCTTCTCTAAAACTATTCCTGTAGGTTTAAATAGGTGATCTGGTCACAAATATGGCATTCATTTTCGACATAGGGACGGGGCTATTGGCGCCCAGTTTAACGCTGCAACTTTTTTTCTACATTTCTTGCTAATTTGAACCGCTTATAACATGCTTGAAAAGTTCACGTAACAGTTTGGTCTCCATATTCGTGACTAGTATACGTGACCCTATCGACTTACCTAAGTTTCAATCCAAAATTCCGTGATATATATGTCTTCCCTAGTGAGATGCAAAGGTAAATAGAAAACTATCCCAAGAATGCGAACAGCAAAAATAAATGCAAGAAGTTATACAAATTTCCTTAGCGAAATTTGCTGATCCTTAAAAATTCGTTCATTAATTTATTTTGTGTGAATTTGCCACCAGTACAGTATATTTATACCTGTCAGTTGGTCACTTCCCTAAACTATGTTTATTTCAGTATGACAGCTCTTACGACAGCAAAGTTCCTTACTGATCGCGTAGCCATTGTGTCTGCCTCAACAAAGGTTTGTTATGTTTTTTTTTAACTTCTCAGTTCTTTATTCTGAATTGTTGGTTGTATTCTTGCGAATACGGGTACCGTGATAATGGAATATTCAGGGTATTGGCTTCGCCATCGCGAAGCGACTGGGAGCTGACGGAGCGTCTGTGATCGTCAGTAGCAGGAAGTCGAAAAATGTCGAGGTATGTTCAGAATAAACTATAGGAGCTATTTTTCAGTTCTACTTTGTCACCATTTCGTTTGCCAGTAATGCGAGAATTGGAGCTAGAATAAACAATTTAGTAAAGCTGAAGATCCAGTGTAATTCATGTTTCGACTTCCGTTTTTTCTACAATTGTCTAATGTACAAACGCTGTTTCGTATATAGGCTCCTGCACCATAGCTATTAAGGCAGTAGCTAATTGTTATTGCAAAGTCTTAACTTTTTTGGGACATGTTCCTTCAAGAGCCGTGCAAATCTCATGGCACAGGTTTCCGGAACCCTAAACTGAAGCAACTTCGCGATAACTTTGCCTCCATCAAGTTTGCGCTGATATTGAGGCTATCTGTCCGATGTTTTTGTTTTTTTGTAGCAGCTTCTCATGAAGATTGAGGGATAGGCAAAAAATTCAGAAACTGCATATTTTCCACGTAAAACATTTACAATGGATTTGGGCCTCAACGATGCAAATCCACTTGACCGAGGACGTGCCGTTCTTGCATGTTCCTTGTAACGAGAAAACTTAATGTACTTTTATCGACGCAGCACTTTCCATCAGGCACTCTTATCATTGCGTTTTTTATAAGTTTCAATGGTAAAAACTCCAAGCATCTCTAGTTCTGAATCAAATTTCTAGGACCGTTTGATGTTATATTCACTATATTTTGCCAAACAAATCGAGTTTATTGTCTTATTTCTCAGTGAGTTGGTTTCAGGACGCCGTTTGTGCCCTACGAATGGAAGGTATTGACGCCGCAGGAATACCGGCTCATGTCGGGGTTAAAGAGGACAGGAAGAAACTTATAGATTTTGCCATCGATAGGTTGGTTCTGTTCTAAAGATAATCTCGTCTAACCCTGATGAAGTGAAATGTCATAAGAACTCATTTAATTCTTCGCATATTCGTGGATTATAGTAATGTTACGTCTGAATTTTTTGTAGATATGGCAAACTCGACATTCTGGTTTCCAATGCAGCCGTCAATCCTCATTTTGGTGATATTATGAGCATTTCTGATTCGCAATGGGACAAGCTTCTTCAGATCAATGTGAGGTTTTCTGCGATTTTTTCACACCAATTGAAAGCTTCACGTTTTAAATTGACCTGATTAACATGAACTGATAGTTTACTGTTTATCATTTCAACAGTGTAAAGGCATCAATCCATCAACAGCTTCAAAAAAGTCTAAGTTGTTCCGACTAATCATGTGGTCTTCCCATGCGTGCACACGAGAGTTTTCTGATATTCTCGCATGTCAAATGTTGTGAAATGTCAGGTTTGAAGTGATGCCACAGCTGTGTTCGGGGGCACATTACTTCGCCATGAAGCTTCGTTAGAAATGTTATCACCATGCAGGGGAAGGATGTTACGTCGAAGTGGCTGTTTGAGATAAGAGGATCATCCAGCCTCTCAGAATGCTGAGCTCGGATCTGTTCTCCACATGTGCTTAACGGTTACCTGGACAGAGCTACAGAGGTGTGATGCTGAACAGACAAAACCAGCTAGGCCCTCATATTTATAATATCATGCGGTCAAAAATCTTCATAGTTTCATTCATAGCGTCGTTCAGTACATATTGAAGACAGATTCGGAATCAGCGTATGAGGACGCATCAGATGTTATCATCTTATTTAAAGGCCGTTCGACCTACCAGCCTTCCCTTGAAAGTGCCTTTGTAATTTTCCATAATGCAAATCGTATCGCAGCGCTCCAGTTGAGTAAGGCCTAAAACCAGAATCTGCTTAAAATGGGGTTTATCAGTTGATGGTTTGTAGAGATGCCTACTAGATGGTGCTGGTAATCTCCCAACGCTTTTCACCCTTACTTATGTATAAGGTATCTCAAAATGCTTTAGTGGACAATACTAGCACTATGGGGGTGAGTCCCACTTCCATTTAGGATCATGAGTCTCGTGTATTCTGAGATCATCGTGCTGAGCATGCTTGTTTTTGAAAAAGTTTCAAATTTGTGTGAGCACTGTATGGGGAAATGATCCAGCCGATTTCCTTGTAATATCATCAAGATCTCTTTTTAGGTTCGATCTGCTCTACAACTTACTCAAGAGGCTGCTCCTCATTTGGAAGCCAGTGGTCGTGGTAACGTTGTGCTTGTTTCGTCTGTAGCTGGATACTCTCCCATTGACGGGCTCGGTGCTTATTCAGTAATGAAGAGCACACTCATCGGTCTCAATAAGGCGCTCAGCCAATCTTTGGCTCGACGAAACATCCGTGTCAATGCTATAGCTCCAGGTTTGTATTTCGGTTTTTTTTGGGACGATGTGTTACTCGCACAGACTTTTTTCAACTTACGCAACGTTTCCAAGTTTCGATGACTGCCTCAGGAGAAAAATCGAAAATATAAGCGATTATGCGATTTTCTGCCCTTTTCAAAATACGTCACTTATGTTTTGCTGTTCTTCAACTTTCTATCTTGTACATCTTTTTTGCAAGGGTCGCTCATTTCAATGGATTGATTTGGGCTCAAATAGTTCAAGCTTTGATTACGCGAACGATTGCAATTTTGCAAATCTGTGCTTTGGCCTTCTTGCAAGGAATTTGTAGCAGCGGCCGCGAAATAACGAACGAAATGTCATGCGGTGCAAGGCATTACATAACAACAGGCGTGTTTGTTTCCACTTGAGTGTCTCATGAGAGCGCTGCTAATTCACGTGACATGCTGCAATGTTTTCGATTCGGGATCTCGTGCATTCACATTTCTTGCCAGCGGGTGCTAAATATGGAGCGCTCGTAATTTGACCTTTGGCGTCTGCTTATGTAGCGATTTCACCATAGACTCTTAACAGAAAGTTACCACTCGAATTGAGGGCAGCGCCATATGTCTCATTGTACCACTGTTACGTATTTGCGTATTTTTGTTGGGATCCCACTCACAGTGATAGAAACGGCGTCAGACAGGAATATATCACAATTTTACTGCAAATGGAACCGCGGAAGGGCTGGGATGGGTGAGAACGCCTTGTTGCAAACTATTTAGCAAGTGCACGGAAGTGCATCCTGCATGCACGTGAAATATTCATGCAGCTCCTAGAAATAGCCGGTCAGGAGGCGCTGCCCTGATAAACAACTTGGAAGTTTTTGCATGCACCACTGGTCATGGGGAGTTTCGAGAACGTCAACATTGGAGTCGATGTTTCTGAACAAGATCTGTTTCAGTTTTGATTTCCAACTAGAAAGTTAACGCTATGAAGGCTTCATTTGTAACTAGCCATTGTTTCTGGTGCCTATTCACAGCAAATTTTTTCAGGAATTATTCGAACAGACTTCAGTAAAGCGTTGTATGCGAACGAAGTAGACCATCAAAACTGGTTGCGATCGATTCCTCTCAACCGATTAGGACATGCAGATGAATGTGCGGATGCGGTTTCGTTTTTGGTGAGTACGAAAAAAAAACTTGAAAACTTGCAATGGGACTAAAAATTCCGACTCGACAGCATATTTGGCTGTCATCAGCTCCCGAAAGGCTATCATTCATGCTGCAAAGATGGGGAGATGCTTAGGTCACCGATTTCGTCTACTCTGCGCTGAACAACGAATGAGTTTCCTTCTGCAAAATCTGGCTCAACAACGAGTTGCATCATCACAGGTGCTGCGCTCATGCAAAAAGCTGATGCATTGGAAATAAAAATAGCATCCGAAAGGCCATAAATTTGGTTCGACTCTAGTGCGAGACCGTTCGTTTCGTCTTGAATGCAGTGCTGTTGTGATAAATATCTTAACATTGCGGACCGCTCCAAAAAAATGCACATAGTAAAACTGTAAATGTGCTAATCCATTACGTTTAGGTGTCCGATGAAGCCAGCTACATCTCAGGAGAGACGATCGGAGTAAATGGTGGTATGCAGGCTCGTATATAAATCTCCTTTCTCGGAATTTATATTTTCGTTTCTCTGTTTTGTTTTTGTTTTAGTTGAAGGGTAGTTTTCTTTTGCTCCATTTAACAGTCATGGACTATAAATGTTCCTGTTCTGTAAAGTTCGGGTAGGTAGTTGTGTAGAAGAAGTCATCATCACGAAATTGCTCGTACTCACTTATTCAAAATTAGCGCATGTACCTTTATTTTGCTAAATTTTTATTCCTTCCGAACTGGTTGATTGTCGTTCCCCATTGCATGTGCCATGATACAATCTCATGTAATATTGCTGGTTGCTGTTCTTTGTTGAATGCATCATCGATTATTTTTTTCACATTTTTAATGGTATTTCCAAGGTATTAGGATAAAGCATTAGAACGATTTCCATATAGAGCAGTTTGGCATTTGACCGCTGGGGCTAACATGGGTTTGTTTTTCTGAAACAGGCTAAGCGTGGAAGTGAGAGGTAGCTGGAAATATCCGCTCAGTCCGTGAGGACGGGTCCTGCCCAAGCCAAGTTGACCATTC